TTTTGTATTTTTATTTCCAGGATTGACATAGAAATGTTAAAATATGTTTCTGTCTCTCAGATTTTATTTCTCTCAAGCACACACATATTAAAAATAAAAACCAAAAAGTAAAGACTTCCTATTTTAAGGAATCCCTGACTTCCATTCTGAAGTCAAGTAGAGAATCTGACCTCAAAGTAAAGCTGCATCAGAGGGGAAAAGAGGTAGTAAAGCACATTTGCATTTCTGGGTCATTACCCACATAAGGGCCCCATGCCAGAGATGACTCTGGCATTCTGCAAAAAAAACTGCTGTCCATCCAAGCCTTTATTTGAGAAAAAAAGAGAACAGCTCCACACAGGCTGACTTTTTGAAACTTTAGGTGTATTCAAGAAAAGAAGTCGCTACCTGCTTTGTGAATGAAGAAACAGAGCTGGACACAGGAAGAAGTTTCTAGGTATCTCATGGTATACATAAGACAGAGCTGAGTAGTTCTGAATTACAGTGAAAGAATAAAAACAAAAACATGTCAAACAACATTCAGGATGCATAAACAGAAAACATTTAAAAAGAAGAAAGTCGGCCAGGCGAGGTGGCTCACGCCTGTAATCCCAGCACTCTGGGAGGCTGAAGTGGGTGGATCATGAGGTCAGGAGTTGGAGACCAGCCTGACCAACATGGTGAAACCCTGTCTCTACTAAAAATACAAAAAAATTAGCTGGGTGTGGTGGCACACTCTGTAATCCCAGCTACTCAGGAGGCTGAGGCAGGAGAATTGCCTGAACCTGGGAGGCGGAGGTTGCAGTGAGCCAAGATGGTGCCACTACACTCCAACCTGGGCGACAGAGTGAGACCTCGTCTCAAAAAAAAAAAAAAAAAAAAAATGAAAGTTATCATTTACAACTTAGCAAACTCAGCATATTTTTACATGACAAGTTTGTATTGTATGGGGATTTTCAGTCTTCTTCATAAGTTTGGTTAATAACTTCAAGATTTTATCATCGATGGCATCTGAATCCTAAAAAGTTAAAATTCTCTGAACCAGGAAGGTTTGTGGCAGATAAAGTTTTAAACTTCTGAAGAACTGTCAAACTTGTCAAAAGTATCCTAGAAATATCATTAATATTCTACCTGCACTTTTCAAGCTACTTCATGGCAATACTTTATGTTCTAAAAAGTAACAAAATAGCACATGATTATGAACACAGCATAAAATTACAATCACTGAAGTATTCCATAATTATAATAAAATTGTTTTTCATTTAGTCTACACTCGTGACATTTTAAGGAAAAAACTGTATACCTTTGAAAATGGTTAGCAATCCTGCCATAGAAAGCAACATGTCATTCTTAATCAAGTTTCAAACATGCTCCACACAGCTGCACACACAATGTGTACTAACCTAATTGTTAGTTGCACCTCCTCCAATTTAGCAATATTTCACACAGCTCTTGGCCATGATGGCATTTTCAAGTCTTAATTTGTGGAGTATAAATCTAAACTTTCTTTCAATAGTTTATGACATGTTTTGTGCCACCCAGGGGTCTAATGCACAAAATAGGTGATTTTGAGTTTCTCTACTTGAAAACAAATCCTTCTTTTCAGTCTAAATTAAGTTATATTCTTCCATATTTTAACAACAATTTTTCACACTAAGAGATATCAGAATTTTTTCAACATTTATATAAAGTACTCTGATTCAATCAAGCATGGGGGGGGAATGCGAAAACATTTACAACCTGTTGAAGGTTAGTAAATAAGAAGTTAAATACTTCTTGTCCTATACCACTACAGCCAAAACTGCAAATTCAGTGATGATTTTTGTTACTATCTGAAATCTTCAGTTTCTGAGTATTAAGGACAGCGATGATAAAAAGAAAATTACCTTCTTGAGATTATGAGCTTAAGCTCTGGGTTCTGCACATGGAATAAACCTGTTTCCAGAGATCATACTCTTTTACATAGGAATCACCCTAATATCTGAAGTTGGCATGACCATACAACTCAAAGATTTTAATTTATGATATATATGAAAGCAGTTTTTTACAAAATGGAAGTTTTGTATCAAATCTCTATGGTATGGATTCTAGTTTCTTGTTTTATAAACACATTTCCTGATTTCTGAAAAGAGAACATGTTTCTCTTTACTGGTACTCTGCCAAGCATTAAATTAAATGTATATTTAACTAATTTAAAGCACAGATATAGAATTCTGACCAGCAAATTTCTCTGGAGCATTTGTCTCTGTCCCTCAATTGTTAAATGGTCAAAACATCATGTCTTCCCTGGTAATAACCTAGCAAATGAGGTCACCATATCCACAATACCAAAAGCCACCTCATTCTCTCCTAAGATTAGCTGCAAATTGGTATAGGCGTAAACATTCCCTTAAGTTTATTCAAAACATAAATACTCTGCATAGAGGACTGGAGATTAATGTTTCCAGAACCTTAATAAAGTCACGTAATAAAGAAACTGAATGAAATTTCTAACTTAGACTCTCTTTGGCCTCAATTGATTTTAATAAATCTAAGATTTTCCTGTACAGTTACCAAAAAAAGATGCCCAAATGTTACAAGAACACACACTAAATACTTTAGAAGTAAACAAAACTGGGTAAACTTTTATTTTAGTCGACAGTACATGAGTCATAACTTAGTCTAGAAACCTGGTTTATTTGTAAAATAATCTACTCATAATGGCACAAAGACATAAAAAGTTTTCAAAAATCTATTGAGAGCAAAAGGAAAACATATACAACCGCCTATATTTTAGTGTAGGGCTTTTCAACCATTAATTTGCAAAAGAATTTATTTAAAATCAGATACTGTATTTCCAAAAAGCAATAATTAACCAGGAATCTCTGAGGTCCTTTGAGGTGTGATCATTTCACCCCATTAAAACAATTGGATTTTCTTTGTCCTTTGTTTTTTGTTCTGCATCTGCATTAACATGGCTGCTAATTATATTAGCCTGGTGGCACATAAAGTCTGAATGGGAAAAATCACATGATTTCATAGAACACAAAACTCCTTAGGATTCCAATGTACACTTGCTTAGATTGCGCTCTTCTATATTATAGCTGTCTATTCTGTTAGATAACTTAACTATGATTCAGATTTTCTGTTTCATAAGTGATGGTGCAACTCTCCAAGACACCATTGCATGTATGGATGCATGCATGTACTCAACAGCATGTGTCCATACTGTGGGCACACAAAAACACAAAGGAACCTTTAGCTTTATCATTCTACTTTGAATATTTAGCTTCCCTATTGGGATATTTATGTTTTTTCTGAAATTAAGTTCTTGAGGAGTTTGTATTCATCACACAAAATGTCACACAGATCTAGTGCACACATTTGCCATACGAAAGCCCTATTATATTAAATGATTAGAAGCTAAATCACATTTTTCAAATTTTAAATTGAAAGCATAAGAATGATCTATACACCCACTCATTCTCACAGTTTTATGCTTTCACACAGTGAATCAGCAAATGTATTCTTTTCTGAATAATATATAAAAATAAGAATGTTTTGAAAACCTTTATGCAGTCTGGCATACTTGGCCTAATGGGTTGTTTCACAAAGTAAACTCCCTCATTGTTCTGGTTAGCTTTATGATTAAGAGTAAAAACCCCTTATTGCAAAACTTATATGAATCTGTGGTACAGAAAAATAAACTAGCTTACACATCACTGAGAAACTACTACATTCTGAAAATTATATTTATAGTTCCATCTCCTTTTTCTTACAAACAAATACATAAGTGCCTAATTCACAGACCAAAATAGACACCTTCAGGTAACTTCCATGCGAAAGAAAAACATCCGGAGACAATACACAACAAAAAGCACTGGTTCAGCTAAATATTAAACAAAGCAACAATAACTGACACTCATGGGCTTCACGACAACTGATAAACAAGAACACTTAAGGAATTCATCTGTCAGTTTCAATGGCAAATCCTTGCTCTTTGGAACACTTTACTGATCGGACACTCAAACATCTTCTGCCTTGTAGTCACTTCAACCTTTATGAAACAATTGTTGAAAATGCAGATGGCCATTTCAGTTAATTTATACTTTCTAAGAAAAGCTATTTAATGACAAGTGTGAGCAAGTACCTCCTACCTCAAATTAACCACTTACTGTGGCATATTTTTCACCTCTCAACTCTCTCCTTAAACCCTCCTTCCACTGCCCTTAGGGAATTGAAATTCAGAGACATGACGTTTTCCATTACTGGTTCCTTGCCTCTTTGAACTGTACAACATTCCTCAAAAAGTACATATAATTCTCCATCCTATAGGATCAGACAACAATATCTATTTCAGGAGCAATAATATGCATAATGAAAGACAGAATATTTTTTCTTGGAATTGTCTGTGATAATTGTGGTTTAAAGGTTACTGTTTCCATCTATGACAATGGTGTTGCTGAGTTCATCTAAGTATTTCTGTTCATCTGCATACTTTAAAAACTCAATTTGACTTCTATATTAGACCGTTGTAAGGATACCATCTGCCTTAAATAGTGGTTTTTTTAGAGCATTATACTTAAAGACAACATTTTCTTTATAAAAAAAAAAAAACTCATGTCTGTGAAGAAACAATGATACTGTAAAATTAGTATAGAGAAGAAAAGTCCAAAATTCCATGTTTCTCTGTTTAACACCTGTACAGTAAATTGTAGGTGACAATCACGTTGTTACATTAATAGGACTGCAAAGCATAAAGAACAAGAGCTACATCTTGCTTTGCCTAAAGACATTAAAGACAAGTTTAACCCGCACCTGCCAAACTGTCTTAAAAGGGACAGAAATAGGTGGGAGCGGAAAGGCTCACCTCTCCTGTACCCCAGAGTGCGTCTCCCTGAAATCATTTTAAATATAAGCAATATATCTGTCACCCTCTATTTTTTTCTTCCATTCTAGTCAATGGCAGACCCTTTACTGCACTTCCCTGCCCACTATCTCAAAGACACATTACAGAATAAGGGGACTCAAGTGTCACTTACCAGTTGCATGCCACAGATAAAGATAAGCGTGCACCTGCCACTGCAATAACCCATGGTTTCCGAGACCCCTGCCACAGACAGACTGTCCCACGTCGGCCACCGTCGAGCCCCCACTTTATCCAATCAGATCGCGGGGAAGGACAGGCAAACCTGCCGAGGGCTCGGGGGCTCCGGGCTGCTGCTGCCAGCGTCCTGGGAAGTGACAGGCATTAGGACCTGCTGGCGCGGCGGCGGCGGCGGCAGCTCCAGCCGCGCCCGCCCCACATACCTTCACTCGCTCGGTGCACACGCCGCGCCGCGGGCAGCGCCGCCTGCGGAGACGCGTCCGGGGCCCGCAGGGGCAGCAGCGGCAGCCTGGCAGCGCCGCCGCGCCCTCGGGCATCTGGCCCCCGAAGTTTCGCCCCCGCCGCTCGCCTCACGCCCCCCGGCGCGGCCGCCGCCCGATGCGCGCTCGCCCGGCGCTCTCCGCGCGCAAGCTCCGGGGGCGGCAGAAGCGCGCGCGGGCCGCTGCCCGCCTCTCTGCGCAGCCCGCGGCTCCTTTGCGCCCTGCGTTGCAGGGCCCGGCGGGCGGGGGCGGGGCGGGGAGCAGGGCGCGGGCCGGGCGGGGGCGTCCGGGTTCCGCGGTCCCCGGCTGCTGCTGCGCGCAGTGATGCGGGTCCGTGCCGCGTCCCAGCAGCGGCGCGGCCCCTCCCCTCGCCCAGATATGTGAATCCTCCTCTACAACGAATCCTTCAACCTGCTCCCCGCCGCCCCTTCCAAGGGGGTCAACTTCGAGGCCGGCTGGGGCTGCCACCCAGGCGGCCGCTGGCGGCAGTGTCCAGGCGGAAAGGAGCGGCGCGAAGGCGGGGACTGGGGCCTCGGGGCGAGGAGTCCGGGTGGCATGACCGCGGCGTGCTGGGTTGGAGTCGGTCCTGCTCCGGGAACCTAGCGGGGCACTCCGCGGGAGCGAACCGAGTGTGTGTGCGCGTTCGCGGGTGAAGGGACGAAGAGGAGGGCTAGGGAAGGAGGCTGGGGTCCTGGAATAGGGGTGCAGCCGAGGCATCCAGATCGACCGGAAAGCCCGAGTGGCGGAGAGGCCAGAGGTGGCGAGGAGAAGGGGTGCGGTGGCCCCGGACGCACCGCCCGCCGCCGAGCACCCGGCTGCCGAGGATCTGAAGGGCCGGAGCGCGGAGAGCTACGGAGCAGACCCTGCTTGGGGAAGGGGACCGAGTTGCTGCTGGAGTTGGGAAAATTTAACAACCGGAGCAAATAGGGATGCGATGAGTTGCTGTTGCTGCTTCAAACTGTTGCTTGTTTTCACTTAAAATATTAGAGTCGGAGACCATTTTAATACTCAGTTACTTCAGCCTCACAGACCCTCCGGCTGGGTGTGGATTCCTAGTGGAGAAGCTCGAGCCGCCTCAACACTGGCTGCTACCTGCAGAGACAGGCTTTGGAGTCCGCTGCTGCCACCTGCGGGCTGAAAGCTGAAGGGTGCAACATGCTGGCGCAGATGGCTGCCCCTGAGGCGTGGGTATTTAGGACTTAGTTTCCTTTATAGCCCTGGGCAGCTAGTGAAAGCAATCCTAACTTTTCCAGGAAGTGAAGATTATTTGTTGAGATCCACTAAAGAACTGGCTTATTGGGGTAAAGTGCCATGATTGATAAGAGAATGGTTTAGGGAGCTAAATAGCAACCAACTCCCTAGCATGCTTCTTAAGAGCTTAAGATGAGGAAACCACATGGAGCAGAGAGCTCTGTAGCAAGTGGAACTTGGTGCCTACTGAGAAAAATGGCATTTGTAAAGGATAAGTTATGCAGGGAACCACAAATAAGGATCCCGAATGAAATGATTGCTTCCTTTGAATAAATATTATGACGTATCAGAATGACTAAATACAAAGAAATTGAATAAGGCAGAGAGAGTTTATTCTCCAGAAGCCTGGTACTGAATTTTCAGAAACGATTTGTCAGTCCTAGAGAGCCAAAAAGGGATTAACTGTTAAATTTATAGAGCACAGATATTTTATTGCTATAATGAGAACGTCTGCTTTTAATTGCCCCATTTGTAAAGGGACTTTTCTTCTGAAAAATGCTTTTCAGTGTTTAATAAAATTCCCAAGAGCCCCATATGTACTCTTAGGCACTGCAAGGCCTCGAAGGTAATAACTGCTCCACAACTTTTGGTAAAACTGAAGCCTTGTTCTTATTCTGTCTTTATACACATTAGCTGTCCTGTACCTGCTAGGGTTACAGGTGTTTTGCATTACCAAACAGAAAGCTGTAAGTTAATTGACTATTCAAGAAGCTGCTGCCATATTGTCAAAAGCATTCCGTTACTTTCTTAAATTTATCATAGGAACAACACATTTATGTGGATCCCTCCATATTTCTGAAGAGGTTTCGCTGCAACCAGCCATAGCCTACGTAATCTTTAGGTTGTATAGGAAAGCAGAATGCTATCTGTAGCGGACTCTGGCAGTGCTTCATCATAGTTCTTGGAGTATGCCCTTTCAGTCCATGCTAACCTTTTTGTAATCACTTGGGACACTTTGTTTTCTAGCCATAGGAGGTGCTTGGCTGAACAATAAGGTTCCAGCCCTAAGAGCTACCCTCACCCAAGAATGGATGGGAGTTGGTGGTAAGTACCCCAACTTCTTCAAACCACAGATGGGAAAACCTGAGACATGTTCTAGTATACACCATTATGGTCCCCACTGGGGTTGAGCCCTAGGTGCCCAGAGTAGTAACTGGCTCATTCATGCACTCTGAATTGCCTTCCTTCCCTTCCATGCCTCATCTCCTTGCTTTTGTACCACTACTTCCTGAAATCACCTCTGAAATAAACCACTTCACTCAAATCCTTGTGTCAGAGACTGCCTCTTGAGAATCACAACCTAAGGCATTCTCCAGGGGCCTTGATACCTCATCTGACATCACTGGCACAGTATTCTCAGAAGTGTGAACTACAAACACTTAATGTTGAACATTTACTATGTGCAACTACTGTCTTATGTACTAAACCTACATCTTTTCATTCATTTATCACAGGAAACCTGTGAGCTGATACAATGCACATTCTAAAGATACACAAACTAAGAGAGAAATCAAATATTTTTATCACAGATGCACCTGTTCTTGGCAGCAGAATTAGAATTTGAAGGGCACAACTATGAGACACTAAAATTCACTTTTCAAACTACTGTACCATAGTCCTTTATTTTAATATGCATTCCCTGTCATTTTGGAATTCTATACAAAAGTGATGACAAAAATATTTAAGAATAATCACATATATTTTATCTTTAAATTAAACTGGCATCACATCCTTTACATACAGTATAGGCAATGCCTGACTTATGAAAGGGCACCCTAGTTATGGATGCAATTCCATAACTTAATGTGGCTACGCACTTCCTATTCCGTTTTCTATCATTCCTGGAACTGAGTGTCTTAGTAGAAGAGACTAAAAAGAGAATCCCAACAGTTCCATAATGTACATGAAGGAGAGAGATGTCTCCAATTTGAATGTTGATTGCATTTTCACTTAGAAATAAGGTCATAAACTATTTAGTTATATAAGGTGTCATACCTTTTGTTGACTAATATGTGACATAATATTGTGAATTGCCTTGTTTCTATGGGGAAAATGTGCTGCATATTCCACACCTCCATCTGCCTCACGCTGCCATGCTGTTTTAAAGTACTTTTCAAGGTTGTTTTAGATCTATTATCTCATTTATCTCTCAGAACAACTCATGCAATGCAGTAGGCACACAGCCACTAAGTGAGTGGAGTTCCAGACTGCTAACACTCAATCACTTCAGCTACACCACAAGCTCAAGCTTGGCTTTGCAACTCTGCTAAGCAATTTAACTGCATTTTATTGTCTCCATTCATTAATTTAAAAGCATAAAAGCAACAATTAGTTCTTTTGAAAATTTTTGTGGGTACATAGTAAATGTATATATTTATGGGGTACAGGAGACATTTTGATACAGGCATAGGATGCAAAATAATCATATCTTTACAGTCACAAAACTGACATTTGATTCAGTGTATATGTTACATATTTTATATTAGCATGGATTTTTTTCTTGTTTGGATAACGATTAGGAAAATCATATATATTTTAAATATGAATGGCATATAAGAAGAAAATAACTACAAATTCTTCCATCCAGAGGTAATGTCATTTTTATACAAACCATTTTCTAACAAAAATAGGGTGATATGCACAACATATTTTAACCTGCCTTTTTTTCTTTTAACAATTGACCAAAAGCACATATCCAAATTATTAAATTCATGGACTTTGCAGCCAGACATTTAGTTTCATAATCCAAGCTCTGCCATTTATCAACTATGTAATCTTAGGCAAATCACTTAGCTCTTTGTGCTTTGTTTTCTTCTTTATAAAATAGGAGGGTAATCACCTATATCATAGAGTTTTTGGGAGAATTAAGTAAATGTCAACTAAGTAGAACTTTTAGAACAATGCTGTATTAGAGCTCTCTACAGGGAGAGAACTAATGGAATATATATATATTATATATTTTATATATGGGAGTTTATATTATCTATTATGTATATTATATATATATATATGGGAGTCTATTAAGTATGAATTCACATGATCACAGGGTCCCACAATAGGCTGTCAGCAAGCTGAGGAGCAAGGAGAGCCGGTCCAAGTCCCAAAGCTGAAGAACCTGGAGTCCAACGTTCAAGGGCAGGAAGCATTCAGCACAGGACAGGGATATAGCGTGGGAGGCTAGGCTAGTCTCTCCTTTCACATTTTTCTGTCTGCTTATATTCTAGCCATGCTGGCAGCTGATTAGATTGTGCCCACCCAGATTAAGGGTGGGTCTGTGTCAGGGTCACCACCTGTGGGGGTCTGTCCTGCAGACCCTGACTCAGTGACAGATGAATAAAATACACTGACACTTGGATATTATGCTTTGCCAGTTCTACTGAGCGTGTCCAAGTGGCTTATAGGCACCCTGGAGAGTGTTGTAAACAGTTAGGATCACTGGCCTTCCCACTCTGGCCTCTTCGGCCTTTATTCAGTACACATTAAATGACAAAAACTTTGAATCAACACCACTAGAGGTTAAAGATTAAAGGACAGGTTCCAATGCCCAAAGTAAACACCATTAGTGGGTAATATCCTTGGTCAACCTCCCCCTGAGAGGGTCATCCAGCTCAAAGGTTGAAGACCACATGAGTAAATAAGCTAGCTAGGTAAACTACTCACATTCCTTTGTATTTGTGCCCTAATCTCTCTGGCTGCTGCAAAGAGACTCTGGCTACCTTCAGTCAAGAACTATAGAAAAAACCCTTAGGCCTTCCAAAAGGGTTTGATACTAT